GGCACGGCCGGCCCGGAGCCACAGGAAAAACCTGCTCTGGAAGAGCTGTCCTGAGGAAGCAGCGTCTGGGGCCTAGGGAGCGCCAGCCCCTCCTGTGGGGTTCTGTGACTGGGGGTACCACGCTCCATAGGGACCACGAGGTGCCAAATTGGGGAGGGTTTGTCAACACCAGAATCAAGCACCAAAAGGGTCCAGCAGTGACATCCACTCCATTGCCAAGAGCATCCCCGGGCACTGCTCCCTGCGAGGAGCACGAGTGTCCCACCATGACCGTTTGCCATCCGGCTCCAAGGACCACGACAGACGCAGTGGCCCCTCTGGCACACCGCAGTGCTTGGACCTCGCGCTCCCGCTCGCCTCCAGCTCCCCTTCCTCGGAAGCCCCACGGCCCCAGTGCCACAGTCTCCAGCACCCGGGGCAGGACGTAGGACAGCTCTCTAAGGCACAAGTGGGTCCTCCCTCAGTCCCTCAAGCAGCTGAGGGGAGAGCGGCCTCCCGAGGCACCTGCACGCACCCAGGCACCGCACAGACCCTTAGCGGTGAGGGGCACCCTGAGCAAGCTGATGGGCAGCTCTGAAGGCCCTGGGCTGGTCTGGCTCCACTGCAGTTCCCGGAGGTGACAAAGGCAGGGCACTGCCCGGCACGCCGGCCTGGCGGTGCCCAACCAAACAAACCACGTGAGGCAGAGGCCGACTCCAGGATGAGGTAATCTGCCCGTCCTCCCCCGCGCCAGAGCCTGGCTCCGGCCAGGGTGACTCAAAGGCATTCCTGGCCTGTGGCAGCACCACGAGTGCTGGCACTGCCCTGAGCCAGCAGCAAAATGGGCCCAGCTCTGGGAACTGAGGAGTGTGGGATGTTGGGAGTCTCCTCTCTCCCTCCTCCAGCCATCGCCAACACCTGCCTGGCTGCAGATGCCCCACAGCAGCCCCACAGGAACTCCAGTATGGCAGGGCAACACCAATCCCACGGCTCCAGTGGGGAACGTGTTCCCAGCCACCAGCGGCGGGTTTCCCTCATCCTGCTGCTCCCAGTGACACTGTGCCACAGCCCCAGCTGACAGCCCCAGCGGTGGCAACAGCCCCGAGGAGCCCTGGTCAGGGTTGCCCAGCCCAGCAGAGCCACAGCCCTGGAGGAGACCCTCTGAAACTGAAGCCTCCTGGAATGAAAGTTTATTTATCTGTTTAATTAAGATGTGTTCACCAGGCGCACAGACCCCGTTCCATCTGTCTCACTTACAGCCGCGTCCCAGTAAAATTAAACCTAATAAATATCAGCAGAGGGAAAGCAAAGGGCATGTGTGAGATATACGATCAAAGGCAGAAGCTGCACAGGGCTGCAGTTCTCAGCACAACTCTCTCTGCCCTTCGGGGCTGGGCTGGCACTGTGCTCCCCCACGCAGGATGGGGCTGCCTTTCCTTCAAATCAGCACAATTCCCAGCTTTTTATTTATTTTAAATGAACCCTTGAGGGCTCCTTCGTTTTGTTTGCTGGGAGAGGGAGAACAACATGGCACTGGGACAGGAGTGGTCTTGGCTACTGTTCTGGTGCTGGAGCCAAGGGGCAGAGCCTGCAGTGGGACAGCTGACACGCACCCCCCCCCAAACCACCACCAAGGGAACCTGCTGGGGACAGTGCGGCACATCCAGCCGCTCCAGGTATCCAGGATGTACCAGCAGCCAGTGCAGTGCTGGCAGCTCCCAGGGAAATGCTAGAACAGCTCGGCTCCCCTCTGAGGCACACTCCACCATTTGGACCCTTCATCTGCCAGGAACGAGGCCCCAAGGTCTGCCGGGAGCCCCGGCCCCCTCAGGCCCCCCGAGCGGGTGGTGCCACAGGCTGCTGGCATGGCATGGCTGCGGCACATCCAGGTGCCCAGGGTCCTGCACACACTGCACTAAGCCCTGAGCGCACGTCAGAGCTGCTGCCCTCCCAGGTCTGCCCCAACGCTATGTCCAGATCCTGACCCACGGGATGCAATGGGAAATCCAGCCCCTGATACTGCACTCCTCACCAGGACCCATCCCTCATCCTCTCCCAGAGAAGGATGACACAGTGCCCATGGACCTGCCGTGGGGGCACAGACATGGGTGGGCTGGTGCCGCGCAGGCTCCCAGTGTCTAGTGCTTAACAGGACCCCCATGGCCCCCTGCAGCACGCACCCACGGGGCAAAGCTGGATGCTGATGCTTGGGAGAGCTGCTAAAAGAGGGCTGCAGGTCAGGTGAGGTGCAGCCACTGCCACAAGGGCTGGTGAAGTCAGACTAGTGAGGTCAGACCGCGAGGTCAGATGCTCCGGTCTCCCCGGGGTCATCCTGTGAGTGCAGTGCCGGTGGCCCGGCAGCACCCAGGGAACACAGCACCCGCCTAATCCTCTTCTCCCACCCGCTCCAGAATGCCTCCAAGCCATGGCATTCATTAATTAAAAGCTCATTAGTAGTTAGTCATAGACATAAAGCGATTAGATGAAGGTGCTGACGGATCTGAGCCGCCGTGCTGCGAGGGGAGGGTCCCACGTCCCCAGTGCCTTGGCTGCAGGGACTGCCCCAGTGCAGGGCACAGACCAGGACAGCGATAAGGGACCAACAAGCCTCCTCTGCACCCTGTTAAACCTCCTCTCCATCTTTCCCCGCTCCTTCCTCCTACTCCAGCAGCTCTCAGGGGTCACTGGAGACCCCGCCTGCTCTGAATTCCCAAAGGTGAAGCACCCAGGCATGATCTCACCAGGTGAGGAGGGGACTGTTACCACGACATGGCCAGTATCTGAGACAGCAGCTGTGGCAGTGGGAGGGGAGCAGGAATGCAGGGAAAGCATGTGGAAGTTTAATGGGATCCAGGGAAAAAATCCACCTCACTGAGAAGTTCCTGGCCCATGGTGGGGGACAGGACAGGGCCTTGGGTACCTTCAACCTCTGTCGAGAGCTGCCAGCACCATGCAGAGCAGGAGAGTGGCTGGGCTACCATCTGGGGATGTCCTATGGCCCCCCGTGTCACCCCTCCCTCCTTTGCCCTTCAGCCACCCAGGCAGGGAGAGGACCCTCAGTGCTCTCTACAAAACAGTGCCCTGGTTGCAGCCATCCTATGTCCCCCATCATCTGGCACGAGCAATCAGTGCACAGGGACCTCCAGCAGCCGGCCATATCCCACCCCCTGCAGGACACAGCAGCTCCTGCGGGGACACACTCGGCACCCCTGGCTGGGAGGACGAGCCTGTCACTCTGCCTGGCTCCTCGCCTCCACCCGCACGACCCTTCCAGAAGCCCTTTCACTTGACAAAATATTTACATGAAATGGCAATTAGGCTCCCTGAATTTAATGAGAATTAACATGCAGCAGCAGCACCGTGGCAGAGCAGCTGCTGCTGAGCACCTCGAGCTCGTGGGCCAGGTGGGCAGTGGGGGGGGGCCATGGCAGGGGAAACGGCGGCACCACGTGTGTCACAGGGTCACCAGGGCCACCATCACTGGGGCCAGAGTTACTGCCACTGCCAAGGCCAGAGCCACTGCCAGGGCCAAGGCCACCACCAGGGCCAGGGCCACCACCACTGCCAAGCCCAGCGTGGATGAAGGAGGATGCAGGAACGACGGAGGGCAATGCAAGGAACGAGCAACTACGGACCCAGGGACCCAAAATGCCTCATCCCAGAGTCCCCCTCTTTTCTGAGACCAGCTCTGTTGCCTGACAAAGAGTTCCCAAGAAAATGCACCCCCTAAGATGTGCACCAGCCTCTCAGGCTGCTGGAGGGCTTTGGCAGCAGGCCGTGGGGTGTCAGCACATGGGACAGGACAGGGGAGTCCGAGTAACCCCAAGCAGGGGTACACGTGGCATGCCAGTGTGGGCACTGGGCTGGGACCCACTGGAGCAGCAGACAGGTGAGGTGGTCAGGGAGGAGCACCAGGCTGGAGTTGCTCCAGGAGCAAACACTACATCCTCATTATGAGGCTTTTTAAATGCACAGATAGGATATTAGTGTTAAACAAGCACTGGGACTCCAGGGCAAACTTTAAAAATCATAATATTTACAGACCCCTCCTTCCCCTCACCCCACGTGCTCTTTATTTCCCTGCAATTACTGCTCATTTGAAGACATTTTGCTTTGGCATCTCAGCCTGTTGTGATGTCAATGACTGAGCCACCCACTGCCTCCTGCCACCACAGCACTCCCACCATGAGGGGACACCGGACCCTCTGCTTCCTCCCACACCACGATGGAGAGACGCCTGTGATGCCATGAATGACACTCACTGCTCTGCCAGGACCACAGCCCTTGCCCAGCCCCTCCCAGCAGAGCTGGGGATGGCACCGCGCAGAGCCCAGACCGGCTGTCCCAGGCAGGCTGGCTCCGTGCACTGCATGGGACAGGGAACAGGGACCCTTAAGCACCACTGCCCCGGAGCCAGTGTGGTGTGGGGAGTTGTGCCTGGAGCTCCCACGGGAACTGGCACCCCACGCTGCCCGTGTCTGCCCGGCTGAGCTCCGCGAAGCCACGTGGTGCCAACGGAGCCTCAAGCGGAAGCTCCGGTTCACTCCTGCAGCTGTGGTGGGTCGTTAAGTCCCTGGGCAGAATTAGCACCAAAGCAGGAGGCTCTGCCAGCCCCGATGAGCTCCAGAGCGGCGGCAGCACTGACATCCCTCATGACAAAGCACCTTACGCCTGAAAGCTGCTTCCTTGAGCAACAATGAATTTGCATTATCCTCTTCCTCCTCCCCATAAGCTCCTTTCCCCACACCCCCCATAGCCTGGCTCTGCTCACTCTGTTCCCTTCTCACAAATCCAGGGGAGCACAACTCCCTGGAATGTGTAATCTCCAACAGACTGCTGCAGCCCCCAGCCCCTTGCCATCTCTGGGAGCGGGTGGAAGGGGCTGGCACCACTGGCTTCAGCCCCAGTTATGGGCCAGGATGCCACAGGAAGGCCCCTGGATGGTACAGAGCCTGACACAGCCCAGCTCCTGCAGTGCTGTGGAGGGGCCTTGAGGTCCCCATGGGGACCCTGAGATCCCCATGGGGACCTCAACAGCTTCGGTCATCAACTTCAAGCCTGAGATAAAGTGTGGGGACCACGCCACGAGCATCCGATCAGACCCTGGGTGAGCACCCACAGGGCACAGACCCAGTGAGAGGTGGCTGCTGCTCCACACAGACGTGTGACCTGAACATCCCGCTGCCACCACAGACTTGTGCCCCTGCCTAACACAGCCCCCAGGCAGGCTCCAGAGCCCACTGCCCACCACCATGGCACAGCTGGGGCAGGGGACTGGTTCTGGGCATGGGAGGCAGCTTCTGCCTGCGGCCAGCACTGTGTGGGGCTTGAAGGCAACAGCGGGGAGGCAGAAGGGTTGTTTGGAGGTGCCCTCGGCAGGGCACAATGTGTGGGCAGGGACATTAGCCCACTACTCCGTTCCTCCTCAACACCAGGCCTGCCTCCAGCACTGCAGCCCGTCCCCTGCCCGCTGCCTGCGGCTGTGGGCTGCGGGTGCCTGGCCAGAAGGGGAAGCTCCCCCTGACCGGCAGCACAGCCAGGGAGCAGCAACAGCGAGAAATGACCCCAGTCCTGAGCAAAACCCCAGCAGAGAGGGAGGGAAGTGCCCACCCTTGGCGGAAGTACCTACCCAAAAATACATCATCATGTTGGTGGCCGGGTGTTGAGCTGCTCTGTGGGGTCGGCAGGAGGGCAGGGGGCTGCTCCAGATGCTGGCTGCGCTGGCCGCCGCCCCTCCTGGGTGGGCTCTGTCCCCTCCGGCTGTCCGGCTCCAGCGCCCACGGCCGGCGCTCCCGGAGCCCTGCGTGCTCGCCTCCCTCCCTGCGGCGTGAGCGCCGCGGCTCAGAGCCACTGTTCGACCTCCAGCATGCTGCTGCGGGAGGGCAGGGGCTGGAGGGCAGCCCTGGCAGGCAACAGCTTATCCGCCCCAGGGAAAAATGGGAGAGGAGGAATAAAAATGAAATCCTCTCTGGCGTCCTCAAGAGCAAAGGGAAGGACGACCGTGAGAGGGGAACTGACCCCAGCGGTGAGAGGGGTGCTGGGGTGGGGGTCTGGGGCCAGGCTGGGCGTTGGGGCCGCAGCAGCGGCGTGGGCACTCGCCAGCGCAGCGTGGGCTCCGCTGACACTCCGAGGAGCCCGATGTCCTGCCTCAGCATTTTTCAAGCTACCCTGTCAATAAGGGAATCCGCTGCTCGTGGTTAACCTGCGAGGTGCCAGCCGGCTCCTGGCCCCCCTGGCCACAGCGGACTCCACAGCCCCCTGCTCCCATTCTGCTCCCAGCAGGCAGGGACGCTCGGCCGTGGTCGGGCAGGTCCTGCCGGGACGGGCTTCCTGGGGGGGCCCAGCATCCCCCCCTTTGTGGGAGCAGCCGAGCAGTGGCCCAAGGGGGACAGAGCCAGCAGGCACCAGCCCCCTTGTGCAGTGGGGAGCAATGGGGACGGTCCTGCAGCCCATGATGTGGCCACCTCTGACTGCAGGAGAGGGCACCCAGGAATCCCCAGCAACAACAGGGCAGCCACCATCCCTCAAAGCCCAGCCTTGCCCCCCACAGACGTCCAGGACCCCATCCCACAGGGCAGAGCAGCACGACCAGTGGAGATCTCAAAGGGGACACAGAGAAGAGTTGGCTGCAGGGTCAGCCACGGGGATAAGTCAGGGGAGTCCTGGGGTAGCTGGATCCTGTGGGGCACGAGCCCCCAGTCGCCCCCGGCACATGCTGCAGGCTCAGCAGCTGGGCAGTGCTGCTCCTCAGGCACTAAATCTCCATCCTCCTGGGGCACTGCACAGTGGAGGGAGCGAGGGAACCATGAGCGCTGAACCAGGCACGGGAGTGAGAGAATAAATAAGGATAAGGGAAGCACAGGAGCGAGGGGGGCAGCAGATCGGTCTCCGGGGCCCAGCGGGCTCTGACATCTCCAGCCCCATAATCATATTCAGAGCAGTGCCGGGCAGAGGCAGCTCTCCTCCAGCACGGCAATAAACGAGAGCAACACTCTCAATAATTCAGCACTGGGAGAGGTGATAAAGCAGCAAAGGCACCACTGCAGGCAGCTGAGGTGGGGGGTTCCTTGCTCCCTCTTATATTTCACTGATCCAAACCGTCTCCTCTCTGTGCCCTGCAAATGCAGCCTCAGCCATGTCTTGGGGTCCCCCCAGCCTGCCAGACCTCCCCTGCTGTTGTGTGAGACAGACAGAGGGGGCAAATGCAGCAGAATGGAACTCCTCAATCACCAGCAGCCAAAATCCAGGTTGTCAGTGGGCAGGGGGGCAGAATCATCCTGGAACCAGGGCAGGGGCAGATGCACCTCCCCAGTGCTGTTCCACCCTCTGCTGCTGCAGCCCCCCAGCCCTGCACACACCCCTCACCCTGAGGTGCCTGTGCAAACAGCACCCAGCTCCCCGTGCCACATCCCAATTCTCCCACCCAGACCAGGCGTGGGGCAGCTCAGCCGCAGGAACCCACCCTGCTGCCCTCCCCTCCGCCGCAGACACGTCTCCTCTCCAGACGCACCCGTGTGGCCACAGCCCAGCGCTCCAGCACCGCAGCCACCGGACTGACCCGCGATTCCCGATCCCGCACGCAGTCGGACACTGGGAGGGAGCAAAGCCCTCTCCTCAGCACAGGGAGTGCAGCCAAGGCATCAGCACAGACACGAGAGCCAGAGGTGGGGGCAGCCCCGGCCCTGCAGCCCACACCACTGCTGCCAACCAGCACGTGGCCCCCAGGCTCACACCCACAGCCCAGCCTTCATCCCGTTCATGCTGGCTCCTGGTTTATGCTGCCTGCGAGCCCTGCTCCTGCCCCAGCCTTCCTGCTCCTTTGAGCAGCTCTTTATCCACATTTTCCACAGCACCTCAGGACCCTTCCAGACCACAGTCCCCTTCCAGCATGTCACTTCCAACCTTGTCCTGTAGGTGACAGGGACGGGAGTGCTACCTGCCCCAACACCTCTTTCCTGCATTGGTTTGCATGGTGGCAGCTCCCAGTGCCCAGAACCACTGCCTTGGCCCTCACCACTCCTTGGTCCCACTGGCATCCCCAGCCCATGCCAGGACCCAGAACAATGGATGCACCAGCCTCCTCCTCCCCAGCCCCTTGGCTTTTTTTGCTCCTCTGCTTCACCAGCTTTGACAGGGGAGCACAGGTTGTGCTACACTCAGCGGGATGGACCTTGGGGGGATGTGGTGTCCCCTCTGTGACAGGATCCTCCTACTGCCGTGAAGTCCAGTAACACGAGGGTATGATGGGAAGGAGTCATTCTCATCTGCCCAGCAGACACCAGGCTGGCAGAGGGCAGCCCATCTGGCCCACCTTTCACACGCAACCTGCCTCAGCCCAGGGGACACCATGAGCTGCTGTGACACCTCCCAGCACAGGCTGCAGGACCCTGGGGGCAAACATCCCCTGTGGTGGGCAACCGCCAGGTCCGGGCCACTATAGGGCTGGGGGCTGCTGCCCCCCCCCAGTAAGGGCAGGGTCCCCTCAAGAGGCTTCCCCAGGGATGGCTCCCAGGAGCTGCACAGAGCATGGACGGACAGACAGACAGCAAGTCAGCACACACGGACACTCACAGACATGGCAGCCTCAGCTCTCCTCACGCAGGACTTATGTCATCGTGTCACGCCTGCGTGGGGGCTCAGCACCCAGGGGGTGGGTACTGGGGCCGCTGGCAGAGGGGAGCAGGCAGCCTTCCTCCCATCCCTCCCCCACGCAGGGCTCTGAGCCCACCTGCCCCTGACCACTGCTCTGCAGGCTGAGGTGCTGCCCCGTCCCGGCCAGCCTCGTGCCGAGCACCCATCACCTGCCCCTCACATGCAGGGTTTAGCGTGCAGGAGGGACCCCTGGAGCAGCCAAGGCAGAGCCCAGTACAGCCACTTGGATCCAAACACTCCGTACCTTTTATTCAGCTCAGTTCCTCCCACGGTGCTCGCGCTGGGGTCTCTAGAAAAGATGGGAAAGAGGAGGAAGAATTAAAATCAATGATCATCATCACTAACCTGTTACAGTCAATGCTGTCTGCTCATCGACTGCACAATGTTGGGGTATGAGTATGGATGTGAGTGTTACCTCCCAGGCGCTGGGAAGCCTGTGCTGGTCAGGAGCCAATGGCCAGGCTGGGGACTGAACCCAGGGCAGATGAGCAGCACCAGCACCCACCAGCTCCCTGGACAGGCTCAGAACACCCGCCTCCAGCTCCATCAGTGCATCTCAAACCCAACCCAGCTCCCACAGACCACGGGCCCCTTCCTTGGCCCCCTGGACCCTGCAAGCACAGCCATAGACCTGCACACATACACGGGGTGAGACAAGGCACAGCTGGCCCCACACACATCCACGACGTGGGACAGGACAGCCATCGTTGAAGCCATGGCTGCACAGCTGGTTTGGTGTATCCTAAACCTTCTGTCCACCCCAGCACACTGACATGGTCCTGTGAAGAGCGATCCCTGCAGCACACAGCTCCGCTGCCGTCCTGGCTCCGGGCACTTCTTGGAAAATTAAGCCAAATTTCAAAGAAAACTTCCTGAAAGCTGCACTTCAACTAATTAGCTTTTGCAGCATGGCCAATGCAAACGTTCATCAATCATGTCAGACCCTCAGAAATAATGAGAACGGCTGATACATCCCAGGAGTGGTTAAGGAGTGAGCGAGGACTGCGCGTGTCCATAACCACTGATTTGGTGACCTGGAAGTGCTGAGTCTCACCTGCCCAACAACTCCGTTCCCAACTGATGGAGCTGTGACACCTGGACCCCCACGCCAGGAGCAGCACCCTGAGATGAGGCAGCCCTGGGTGCTGAGTGTGGGTGCAGGGACACCAGGCCCAGATGCTGCCCCAAACCCGCGGCCGATCCCGGTGAGCGCGGCCCACGGAGGGTCCGGAGGCCCAGCCACACGTGGCGGCGGCTCAGGGAGCACAGAGCTGGTTCCCAGGCACTTGTGTTAGCAAACACGGCTCTCAGCCACGCAGCAGGATAATCAATTATGGTAATTCCTGCCTCAATGAATCAGATTCATGGAGGAGCACAGCTCATTAGGCTGGTGCTGACTTCCATTAGCACTCTTATGATAAAATCCCTCCCAAATGCTCTTGCCCGGCACGTTTCGTTTGCCAGGCTGGGAGTCTCCCCTCCCCAGCCCCAGAGGCCAGGGCAGATCCAGCTCTGCAAAACGGGTGTCCTAAAAAAGCTGTTTGGGAACTCCGTGGTTCCCAGCAGTGTGGGGACACCCCCGCAGTCGTGGGCTCAGCAGAGCTGCCTGCCTTGCAGCCACCACTCCTGAGCTCTTCCGTGGCTTTGCCAAAGCAGCGCCCACCAGGATCCCAGCTGGGACCGTGAGACGGCACAGCAGGCACAGAGCTCCAGCAGCAGGGCTGGGAGGGCTGGGAGCACAGCCTGCCTCTTCCGCAATGAATAATTGACACCGCGCGCTCCTGGGGGAGGCTCAGCGATGGGTAACGCCGCATTTCCCAAACACATTTCCCAAGGAAGGCGCCTTCTGAGAAGCTCCCCAGGGCAGCGTGGGGCCCGGCAGCCGGGATGCGCCGCAGTTGGGATGTGCCGCGCTCGCTGGCACAGACAGGGAATCGCCGAGCCCAGCACCAGCCCAGGCAGAAATCTCTGGTGGCCCCGGCACTGCAGGGAGCGGGATGCTCAGCCAGAGCCTCCCTGTCCACAGGCACCGAAGTGGGAGAGGGAAACCCCTGGCAGAGCATTGATGGGAGGTGGGCAGGAGCAGCTCTGGGCGTTACTGGGGAGATCTTGCCTCAGTCCCTGCTTTCCTGGCAGAGCTCTGGGCTGACTGGCTCCAGCTGGAGCCTTGTGAAGCCTCACAGGGACCTGCTGCCAGAACAGGTGATCCCAACCCAGCTAAAACCACCCAGATCCAAATCAGGGGGGCTTCACAGGAAACACAACCCATGTCACCCAGCTGCACGGACCCCATGGATGCTGCACCCCAACACCCCCCATCCCACGCTGCACCCATGGGGCACACCCTGAGGCAGGCCTGGTTTTGATCTGCTG